AAAAAGGTTTTTTAAAAAAAATAAAAAAAAAAAAAAAAAAAAAAAAAAACTACACTATTAAACAAAAATTATGAAAACACAATTCAAAACATTCTGATTGGGTTAAAATTCTAAATATATCACCCAAATTATAGTCCCAATATATGTATATGAAATAAAGCTCTATATTTACAAACTCAAAATAAAAGAAAATAATTCCAAAAGTATAGCAGAGAGCGAAGGAATTATATTTGTAAGACAGAAACATAGCATATCATAAGTCAAGAGAAGAGCCGTACAGGGTGCAAGCCCTTGATGCAGCGACAACTCCTACGCAGTCGAAATAAATCCCAACTTATGTTCTCACATTGATTTTCAGGCACTTCGATTTATGTTAATCCATCTAAATAGCTGCCAACAGCTTGGACACATGCACGACTATATTTGTTCGAGACGAACGGGTTGATCTCCTGCTTGCATCTTGCAGTTGTTGTTGTTGTTGGTGTTGGTGTACCTGTAGCTGTATCTGTAGCTATGGCCCTCCACATGCGGACACGCCAATGTATCTGATGGATACACTTTGTGAGAAATCATACGACCTGCCCCGTTAGCGTTTAGCCGTTTAGCCTTTTGTCGAATTCGTCTGTCCCAGCGGCTTTTCTAGAAAACAATTTAAATTGATTTCAATCAAAAAAATGCCTTTTTGTTTTCGGGATTTTCAATTTTTGTTTTGTTTTTTCCTTTTCTGATTTTTTTTTCCTTTTTTTTTTTTTTTTTTTTGTCTCTCTATCTGGCACTTGGCGCGGCAGTGGATTGGATTGCTCTTTCTCGGCTGAAGGTTTTTGGGAAAAAGGGACACACGCTTTCAGCGTAAAGATCGCATTTAAACGAAACAAAATTTGACTTTATAATAATGCCAGCCTGTGCGCTGGGTGTCCGTCCACCAGCCTGTATGTCTGCCTGTCTGGCTGTCTGGCTGTCTGTTCGTTCTAAGCCAGCATATCCAGCCAACCAGTCAGCCAAACGAACGACGATCCGTAAGATACAATACCGGATTATGTGCCTTTGTAGTTTGCTGTTGCTGCTGCTGTTGTTGTTGTTGTTGTTGCTGTTGTATGTAGATATGGCGGCACGAAGCTCCACGTCTCTGCGGCTCTTTGTGACGGCTTTGTGGGCATTCATTCTCCTTTTTGTGTGCGTGTTTTGTCTTTTTCGTTTTTGACTTGATTGAAAATCTAGAAAATCAGGTTAATAGCTTAGGTGACAGCCAGCAATGTATATGCGGTTGAATTGTTTAGAACCATACAGATACACACACACACACACGAATACACATGCACACTCAGGCATATATTTACCCGAAATCGAAAACGTTTGGCATGTTGTTGTTGTTGCCGTTGTTCTGTTTCGTTTGTGCCTAGTGCCTGTGATAAGATTGATTTGAGCCACAGATAGTTTGGCCATAGAGCTCTGAGTGTGTGCCGGCTGTCCATAAAAGCGTCATATGCGCACATTAAAGGCGGCCTGCCGGCCCGCCGCTGATCCCAGCGAACTGCGCGCTCTAGGGCTCATTGTGCTCGCCACTCAATTAGTTGGTTTGATGTAACTTTTGTCAGCCGAAGCTCGAGTGCTGGGGAGCACTCGGCTTTGCGCGGCTCTCCACCAAGCCAGCAATCCAGCGATCCCAGAGCGGACCTATGATGGCAACAGACGGCGACAGACAGCGTGTCAGTGGCGGTGCTTTTAGAGCCTTTGTGATCATGTCTACAGCATGAATATGCAGATTCTGTATCGAAAATCTGGCCACAATTGCTCCACACAATCGTAGATGGGAGTACGAGTGCGCGTAAGAGTGCGACGAGTACTCTGACTCGTATATCTCGCTGCTCAGTGTATATATGTATATATAGATTCAATTACCGACTTTGGCCTCTCGCTTGTCGTTATCAAAGGAGAAATCGTATTGTAATTGATTTTTATAGATGTATTTTGTACCACACAACATCGACTCCATTTACATATACGTACACACAGACATACGTGTATGTGAGTCTCTCCAAATGCCGAATTCCATTATAATGATCTCTTTTATGCCACTTCCATCAAACGCTTTTTGGCATTAGCTCTAATAGCTCTGTGTCGGCGAATTCTGTTTTATTGTCGATTTGTTCCGCTTAGCCATAAATATTTTACATATTGTCTCAAATGTTGATCTATTGACTGAATGTAGGTAACGCATTGGAATGTAGAGCAAATGTCTGATGCTTCACTCCATCTTAACAACATACTTATCGACCTATCTATCTTTTTCTGATTATATGCCATTATTACCCGTGTCAAATTAGCAATATTAAATATTTAGGTGATACGGAAATTATTAAAGTCATTGACTCCAACTTTAAACGGATAAAATGTTATTGAATTTTACTTAAAATATTATTTTCTTTTTCATATAATGCAGGAACATTAAGCCAACTAACAAGACTTTTCCCTATACTATAACCCTAAGCTTTTCCTATATATCCTATATTTACCCATTGTCACCTGGAGCGCAAGACGAGAGTAGAGTATCTAGTTTCTATTTAGCCATTCAAATTGCTGAATATAATGTCAAGTTAGTTTATACAAATGATTTCTACTGTTTGTAGGTGATGATATATGTTGCTATCAGAAACAGATTTGGTAAACCTCAACAAAAATATTTATTATATTATATTATTATATTCTTCGGTCTTTAAAGTGTTAGTCTTGTGTTCGACAATGCGAATTTGTGAGCTACTAAATTTCAAGACACGTTATTCTACATCATTTTAAAATAGGTTCCCAATGAATACTAATTAACTCGTAAATATAATTTCGCAATATCTCATTCCTTTCACTTGATGACGTCGTTGAAATAAAAACAATAATAACGCTTAAAATTAGCCAACGACTAAATCATTGTTCTTATATAATCTTAACTCATTTCAAATGGGAGAACATAGATGAACTTTCAACTTTATAATAGATTTATAAAGACAATAACACTAAAGTGATGATTATAACGTGAGTTGTTCTAATGATATATGTATGTTTGTATGTGTATGAGTTTGATTACTTACAGATCAGCTGTTAAACTGTTAATATATGTATGTATGTAATGCTAGCCTATAGGCAGACAGAGGAATACTTGTAGTAGTTGATACGCGCAGTTGATTATTTTGTTAGCCATTTGATTTGCATTCGCACTGGTGTATCGGATAGCGGCAATGCCAGTCATTCGCTGATTTGGCAAGTTTGCCATTAGCCATTGCATCCCACAGGCAATTAGCAGCTAATGCCGCTTTGAAAACTTTAAGTGCCTGGTCCCGGGGTGGGCAGGGGGACTGGGAGCAGGGGGCTGTGTGCTGTGTGCTGACTGGTTTTCGCTAGGCGAGCAGGCGAGATCTTTCACTGAACGGCATTTAAACACATTTCTAATTATTTTTCATTACTTTGGCTTGTCGCACGTCGAGAGTCAACTACATAAAATCGTTTAGTTTATTGGCCCATCAGTCACTGGAGCTGCGCATTTGCGGTCGCCGGAGCCATTACATTGAGTTATGAAATGAATTTCAAATTTCGCGCAAGAGCGCTAAAATAATTACAACGAGCTGAAGCGAATACAGTAGCCCCCCAATGCTGGGCGGCCCACTGCTGGCGGGGTCCGCCACTCAGCTGGCCTCGTCTCGGCCGCACTTAACTTCGCCTCGCATTGATACGCGCTCCAATGCATTTGTGATTTATCAGCCGGACAGGCATTTGGCATTTGGCATTCGGTATTCGGCATTCAGGCACTCAGGCATTCAGCTGCCTGGCCACCATCTGACCACCAGTAGCTCATCTGCCATGGCCGGCTACTGGCCCACCGCTAACATGGCTAACATGGCCAACATGGCTAACATGGCCACTTGGTTTTAGTTACCACTGCGTCGCTCAGCGTGCGTTCTTGGCGTTTGTTAAATTGAAAAGTTTTCGTATTAAGTTTATTGCGACGACCCGATGCCTATAGGCGTGGCAAGGCGGGCGTTGGCGATTGCATTCGATGCCGCTGCCGCTGCCGCTGCCGCTGCTGCTGTGGCTCTGTCTGTATGGATGCTGTATGCGATATGATTGCGCATATGTTTTGTGTACCAAGTTACAAATCAGTTTTCCCAAGAATTTGCTGTGTTGGCGCTGATATGATCAAATGTCATGCATTATACACTGCGCTTCATGCTGAATGGATTTCAGTTCTCTAATAGCGAAACGGACCAAATTACAATGAATCGCGTCACTAGAGTTGAACTAAAACAAAAACTAATCCTGGCCTCAATTTGAATTTGAATAAGCGTTAATATTATTATTAATATTATTTAAACGCTGTAAAAAATCGTTAGTTTATCTTCTCCATTTATCATTGTATATATTTATATTTAATTTCTTGCTATTGTGTATGCCGCTTGAAGTTTGTAGCCCAGTGCTCTTGCTTAATACAATTTCAATCTTAAGAAATCCATGTAAAATGCATGAAATTATAAGCCAAGCAATTTGGCTTGCCAGCCGAACGGGCGGACCTTAAACGTAACCGTCTCAGCATCAGCCGCAGACGCAGTCGAAGTTGCAGTCAGAGTTTTAGTTGGAGCATGAATCTTTGGTGCAGTTGAACGCAAAAAGCGCCCCGTGGAGCGAGTTGGTAACAAACAGCGACATTATAAAAGGTGTAGCCCCGGTTAGGATCGGTGAGGCCCGAAACGAGTGGGGAAATCAACTTTATCCAGTGGCCTGCAATTTTCATGATAATTAAATGCAAAAGAGCAGAGAGCAGAATTCTAAAATTATTATAATTAAATGCACCCGCCAAAGCGCATTTCAGCTGAATTGTTTTATAATTTCGAACAGCCCGCAGACACTGCCAGCTGTCCGCTGCACCTGATCGCTGGCGCTGACTCCGACTCTGACTTTACTCTGGACAGGGATCACTTGATCGCTTGCAATAAACTAAATATTTCCGCTTTTAAATTATTTATTTTGATATTTGGTTAAGGCAAACAGCGCCCGGAGACAAGACAGACAAATGTTGAACAATATTTTGATAGCGGCCGCCTGGGCATAGCAAATTAGCCCCGAATGGCCGAATGACACAGGTCGATCTCGATCTCGATCTTCGATACCAATGCATCAATGCATCAATGCATTCAGCTCATCATCATCAACATCATCATGATCATCGTCATCTGTAATTCGTGCATAAATGCATGTCATGACAGCTAGCACGGGCACGACATGTAACACCTTTCAATGTGGTCGTTGTTTGGTCCTCTAGTCGAAATGAATATGTCAAAATTTACAATTCGTATGAGATGATCGCGCATTGAGCGTCTCACGATGACAGGCATAAGTTTTGCGTGCTGCATGCTCCAGGAACACTAAACACTGCTCGATTTTCTTTTGAAGAAATCCTTCACAATTATTTTCTGTTGATTCACAGCACTTGTGGGCAACACAGTGAGGCAAAACCGCAGCCACACTTCATAGCCAAAGAGATGATAATAAATCAAGGCGCATTAAAAGTGTTTTCAATTTCATCGTAACTCAGCTACGATGCTGAAGAACGCAACCTGACAACGACGACGGTGACGACTCTCTGATTAAGATGATGTTGCTGATGTTGATTTGCCAGCGACTGTGGCTCTGGCTGTGGCTCTGGCTGTGGTTCTGTTCTGTCTGTGGCAGAGGCTCGAAATGTAGTATATGATTTGGTTGTTGTCCCACGTCATGTTCTACATGCTGCCGAGCATCATTTGAACATTTGCCGCACACCAAACTGACCCATGATTTATGTCTATTGGTCGTCGTGGCACGGCTGGAAAGCCAAGTAGCCTAACAAAATAGAAATATTACGCTTGTGTGACGTGTATGTGGGGCTTAGTTGATTTCGACTATGATTTTTATTTCGTTTTTGGTTTCGATTTTTTTATTGATTTTGTCATGGCGCTGTGCCTTTTGTATTGCTTCACTTAATGGCGAAGGCCCACAATTAACTGGTGATGTGTGTAGCGAACGCCTCCTGCGGCTTTTCACGCATGCGCGCGATTTGATTTTGAAATTTTGTGATGTGATTTCGACACGCATTCCACTGTGCTCGCCATTTCGTTACGCAGCGCTCCGCCATCTCCGACAAATTGACGAGTTCAAGATGGATCGTGCGTTTGGCATTCAGAGCAGACCTTCAGGCGACCGCCTAGATTGCTCGATCAACCCCTACCCATTGGTGGCGCCCGCGTAGCCCTTGGAGCTGCTGCTCCCCATGGACTCACGCTCACGCACAGTATCGCATAGCCAATTAAACGTTTGACAAATGATTTGACATTTTCATTTAGCCAAATGGCTCGCACTTCACACACTCCCCAGGCCCTTTTGCGGCTGCAGGATTAAGCAGCTCTACGCTGACAGCGCATGCGGGCCTGAGAATATAAATTGGATTCAAAATACTTTGCTCGATCTTGCAAATATATGATGGTGTTGACGAGTCGCTCTTGATGATCGGACGGACGCTG